GCGGCTGACGCTCGCCGCCCTCCTCTACCTCCTCTTCATGACCGGAGAGCTCATCGGTGAGTCGGGGGCGTTTCGTGCCGTCCCTCCGGCTCGGTGCCCCGCGGACGGGCGCGCTGCTTCGGCCTTGGCTGTAAATGTTGACTGAGAGAAACGATCGGTCATTTAGGGAGATCAGGGCGATTATTTGCTGCACGTTCAGAGATGAGTGGGAGTAAAGTCCAGTCCGTATTTTCAGTGAAAGAATTTGCAAGTTCCCTTACCCACATCTCCATCGATTCCCCTAAATGACATAAAATACACCTTTTTAAAATGCCTAATGTTTTTTTAGTTCTCCCTGTCAGTTTACCCTACAAGTTTGTAAGGTCTTTTTAACAAGGGAGAAGTGACACAAACAATTTAATTTTCAATGTGTTTTAACTGCTGCCATAAAATCTTGCTGTGTTTGCAATGAGAAGAGGGAAATATGATTTCTAATGTGACATTTACCATAATAACAAAACAAATATTGGGGGATATTTGTCCTTATTCACCAGATACAGCAAAGACACACTGTTACTGAGAACTGGAAAGACAAGCCCTGAGCTATCAATAGCAATCCAGTGAAGAAACCACTCTGTTGATAACTTCCTGAGTCCATCTGTGCTCTGGACTAGCATGTGCTCCATCCAGACATAAATCCTAAGAGCACAGCCAATTAAAATAATAGGTATTTTAACACTTCCCATTGCAACATGTAAGAGAACCAAATAATTGGATTAAATTATCTGTGGGATATGTTTGTTAATATTTGCAGAAGTATGGTGTCTTTTGAGCTGAAAATGAGTTCCTATGTAAGCATCTGGTTGTTGTTGGTCAGAAGAATGAACCTCGTGCTCCAGTTGAGCTTTCATTGCTTCCTCCTAACGGCTGTAGTCAGGTGCTGTGCAGGCTGAGGAGAACCTGTGTCTTACACACAAGTCTGTACCAAACAACTGTGCTTTATCTAATAGGCTGTTATCAGCATAGGCTACAGACTTGAAATGAAATGAAGTGTGAAGGTCCCTAGGATGTAGATTAGCAGTTAAATGTTGGGCCTTTGGTGTTATCTAACCATTTTAACAGAGTTTAGTATTTATCTTTTAACATCTTTTTAACGTTCACTTATCAAGGTCTGTGTCCTGTTACTATCTGTGTTTTGGATACATCCATGCCATTTAGTGCAAGTGTCTGCTGGGTGTGACTTGGCCTCCTGAGGAATGGCTAAATGCTCTCATCCACTGTCCCCTGACATGGAGCATGACACAGTGCCAGTTCATGGATGTGTATGTTGAGCCAGGTCTCTCTGTAGCAATCAACTGCTTTTAAATTGCCTTCATTTTAACATTCAGGTCTAAATCAGAGCTAATCAGATGAATTACTGGGCATAATTCAGTAAAAAAAACCCGAAGAAATCAAGTCCCAGAAACTTTCTGGAAGTGAAGAGCAGAGATGCCTCAGGTATGGTAATGTGAGATCTCCATCTTTCTCCTCCTCACCTAGGCAAATCTGCTCAGTTGTTTGCCCATGTGAAGTGAGCTTGTGCTCTTGGATGATTGTCCTAGGACAGTTGTGAATCGTGTCTTTAAGACAAACTCGTACAGGATGGATAGGAAGCAAAGTCATGGCTAGAGGATAAATAATCCAGTTTGTCCCACAGATGTAGGAAAAAAAATCCCTAGGAGAAATGTTCCATTTTTTCAGAGAGAGACCAGAATACTGACTGTGTCTGCACCAGTTCTATTTGGGACCTTATTTCAGGAATGTGGTTAATGCAAAAAAAAAAAAAAGGGTTTGTCCTTCAGTGTCTGACTGTGTGGTCAGTCATTAATAACACTGTCACAATACATCAGTTTATCATGGCTAAGACACTTCGCATCCAACCTGTTGCAGGGGTTTGGCTGAATTCCTCCATTTGCCCCTGGCTCCATGTTTTTTCTCTGGTTAAGGTTTTGGTTCAGCATGACCTCAGGTAAATTTGCTAAGTAACAGTGTTGTGTCTTAGATGTAGACATCCTTCAGTGTGAGAGTGATGTTATTTCATTGTATTCATCCCAGAGTTCACCCGAAGGGCCCCTCAGTGAGTAGTATGTCTGAGCTGTTGGCAGGTCGATGCTGAACTCACTGGGAGAGTATCTGTTCGGGGCTTTGCAGCTGATTCACGCTGTTGCAGACCTCTCCGGAGCTAGTGCAGGGAGAGCTCTAGAAAGAATAGGTGTTGAGAGTAAAAATACTCTCTCATCCCTGTCACATCATCTGTTGTTTCTCTCGTGCAGTCAGGGTGGCGGATTTGTTTGTACAAAGCGTTAGTGCTGCAGTGTGGGCTCATCCTCCTCAGCTTTGGGTAAGCTGCTGCCAGCCCTATCTCACTCCTTGGGCACAGAGTCAGAGGGCACTGAGGGCCAGACCCATGAAATATTCAGGCATCTGAGAATAAATAGAGGGCTTGGGACCTGAGTGACTTGTCATAGGGCAAGTAATCAGCAGCAGAAGAGTAACTAAAGATAGAGCCCTCGGGTCCTGAGTCTGTCCTACCTGTTTAATTTATTTCACTCCAGCCCTGTACTGTGTTCTGTCTGGTTGGTATCAAATCTTGGAACTTAATGAATTGATCTGGAGCTCAGGGAAACTCTGATTGTATCAGATATTTTAACTGACTTCTTTCTGTGATCTTTGGTAGATTTGAGTTTCTGAGAAAAAGGCAGAAGAGCCTATCAGACAATTAATTCCTTCAGTAAAAATACTTCTGCTGTCTGTTACTGATGTCAAGATGAAGGAAATCTTGTTTCAGCAGCTCTTTTTGTGAAATCTTGATTGGCATATTTCTTCCAAAGTATAGCCGAGCTCATTACTCCAACCCATCTCAGTGTTTGTTGTTTAACTTGATGAACAGTCATGGTAAAACTCAGATAACAACTTATACTTTGTGGGAACCATTTTGCATCAAGAAATGAAAAACATATCACAAGTCCTAGGTAGCTTTTCTGACAGGGTTTTGATGTTTTCAGCTATGTTTAGAGATTTCTAATTGATCATCCCTGAGGAGGACTGCTGTCCTTCATGGGTCACTGAAAACAGTGGTGAGCCATCAAGCTGTCTATTTGTAAAGGTTATAGATGTCTTTTTTTCCAAGTTGCCAATTGTGTTTAAACAGCCTCTAGGCAGTACCTTTAACCCAGCAATGAACTGATACTTTTGGAAACAGAGAACCTTTGATTTCATAATTTCATAAATGTCAATTATGTTTTCTTAATCCACATGCTGCGTTAGGATAAGCTTCAGTACCTGAATTCCTTCTTTATCATTTTATTTAGGAAGCCTTTAAAGTGAGAGACTAGCTGAAATAAATCGACTCATCTTGGACTGAAGTGATTCTCAAAATTAATACATGTGAATGAACATACATACTGTAAATAACGATACATGTAAACTGAATGTCCTTGGATATAAATTATTGTTTCTTCTCTCTTGACTGTAAAAGAGTCAATTGTGAATTGCACATTTCTAAGTCATTTTTTTTATATCATGTGAGAAGAAAAATTAATTCAGAAGGGAAAGGCGTAACTCATTTTACTCAAAAAGCTGCTGAATTGCTAAATCTTAAAATCTCATTGTTTTTGAGCTGAGATGGCCTTTTGGAAAATTTCAGCCTCAGAAGAATTTGTCTTAGAAACTTATGTACAGTTGAAGAAAGGGGATGGAGGAAAGGAATTGGTTGAAATGTAGTGCACTTGGTAGTTATCCACAGTACAAGTAATACTACAGAGCAAGTGTGCCGCTTGTGTTTGGGTGGGGAGGAGAGTGTAGCTCTGTCTGCAGGTGTGTACATACAGACACATATTCACACACACAGAGGTTTTATGACTAGTCTTCAAAGCAATCAGCCACTTGTGAATTCTCCTTTGCTATTTCCTCATGGCCAACTTCTTCACTAAGACAATTTTAATCGTATATGAAGATTCCTTTACTTGAAATGTTAGTTGGAGCCTCAAGCCTGCCAAATGGCACACCAGCTGCATGCTTTGCTCAGTGCAATTTGCAGCTGAATGACAATCTCAAGGTAAAAAGAAACCAGATCGTAGCTGAGCTGACACAGAAGATTTGATCTTTCTGAGAAAATGGGCTTACCTGCAAGCATATGGAAGACAACACAGCACGTCCTTGATTCCCCTTTGGGTAAGGGATGCTTAAGAGAGAGGTGCATTGTTTAAATCTCTCACCCATCCAATAGTAGCATTAGCAATTGAATTGGAACAAAGATGTTAACCTTTGATCTCAGGTTGTCTCAGTGCAGCTCATAATTATGAGAAAAAAATGATGGCCATAAATAACAAGGAAGAATGCTGTGCAAGTAGAGGTAATTGTCTGCAATAGATATTGGCAGAACTTACACACTTCTGCTAGGACAGGGAATAATGAAGGTTAAAAGATAATGTAATAAAAAAAGGCACAGGGTAAATTTCCTTGAGTCACTGAACTTCTGTCCCTGCTCAGTAATGTCAAAATATTTAACAGGTGTAGCTTAATAAAAGGATGAGTTGTGTAAACACATGTGCAGCAATATGTAGAGAAAAGGCATAAAACTATTTTGGGCCTGATCTTGCAAATGTTACAGAGTCATCTCTATGAGAATGGCAGAGATGAATCCTTCCTATGTTACTCTTAATAGAAAGCACACTTGACTGCACTTTTAATTAGGGTAGCTTTAAATTATAGCGTGGCATTTTGCTTGTAATGGCCAAACCCCATGTTTAGTGATTATAAGAAGGCTCTTATGTACTTAATGCACTGTTCTAAAATAAATAACTGTAAGCTCTGCCAGGAGGGTATTATCCAGAGTAATTAAAAATGTTATGTGTCCTGACTTTTCCAATTTTGTTTCCAGGTGGATATGTTGCTAACAGTCTAGCAATTATGACAGATGCACTTCACATGTTAACTGACCTTAGTGGTATTATTTTGACCCTGCTTGCTCTCTGGCTGTCTGCAAAATCTCCAACAAAGAGGTTCACGTTTGGATTTCATCGCTTAGGTATGTAGATACCAGCGTTTGCTGTTAAAGAGTATTTTAAGCAACAGCTGTAAAGATCTCCTAATTCTAGAATAATAGCTAGAAAGAAAGTAGCAACAAAGCTAAGAGTTGCGACTTGACTTTCAGTGGCCATTGTGGATGCACTACAGAGGTTGTATTGCCACAAGGGTATAGTTTGAAAAGCTATCCAAGGTTTGATGGCAGAGTTTTGCTCCCTGGGAGCAGGATGAGTCTCCCCATGTCTGTGGAACTGGGACTTGGGAGGTTCAGAATTAAATTCTGAATGCTTGATTCATCTTCCATCTTAAAGAGGAAGGTTGGGGAATTGGATACATGATGACATTTTAAATGTGACTTCCTATAAATGAACCATGGCCTAAAATGTTTACAAGGGGCTCAGAGGAGGAAAGCTGTTCTGAGCAAGAACGAGGATGGCTGCAGATCTGTGTTGCATAGCCCATCCATAGTTACTGGGCTGGTGCAGTGGCTCAGGCCACTGTGCACCTTTGTGCTTTGGAACTGAGGCTGCTCAGCAAAGGAGGGACACGTTCTTTGTGCTCACTGTGGTACCACTGTTACTGCTCATGTGACACACTGAGGAGCTTGTTGGTGCAGGAGCTGTGCATGTTGGTCTGTTCACAACAGATTATTGCCAGGGCCCAGGATTTATGAAGTCTTAGTGACTTCAGAAGAATTGTGGCACTGGAAAAAGGCCCTATTCAATGTGAAAAATGACATTTTAATCCAGAACTAAAAAGTTATGTAGAACATATTATTAGAGAGCTGTGTCCTGCCAGAAGCCACATAAATCAGTATTCCTCTTGCCTTGTCCAAACCACATAAAGCTGAGGTCAGAATGTCCCATGGTTTGCCATGCAGCAAGTTACTTAACCTCTGCCTGTTTTAGTGACTGTAAAAATAAGTATAAACAAAATAATACCTTGGAAGGGTATTATCAGGATTCATTACTTCATGTCTGGAACTGTAATGATGATAAAGAGTGTTTTCATGGGGTTGATAACTTGATATCATAATTCATAATATACAGCTACAGATCTTGTAGACATTTTAGCAAAAGCTCCAAAGCTTCATTTTTCATGAAACAGATAATTTCCAGTGTCACAGTTTGCTACCTGTGCTGCATACATTCTATAGCATATATTTTTCAAGGAATTTCAGTCTTGTGTAGTCATTATTTGCAATTCTTATTTTGGCTGCTAGAACAGCAGTAGAATTGAACAACTTCATCACTCCTTGTCATTTGTCATCAGTTAGTCACTAATGCATGAATGCATAACTCTGTACACTAGCAAAGCTCTTTGGGGCTTTAGCAAGAAAGCATTAGCAATGCCAGCATTTCCCATTACAAACTTTTCTTTCATGAAGTTTTAATTTTGTGATAGGAGCTCCCCTAATGCTGAAACCTGACCTGGCAGGTATGTCCCTGGCATTTGCTCATGTTCTCAAGAAGGATGTCTGTTAGCATTTACACATGTTTTAACCCTATTTCATTTAAATAGTTTATATTTCTTTGTAATTTTTCTAAAATCAAATAGTACATGCCTTGGACATGTCATGCTCTGGATTAAAACAGGAGTTTATCTTAAGGAAAATAGAAGAGACTTAACCATTAAAATCTTACTCAGTTCCATAATTTTCACTGACTTTTCAATTAATTTGCAAGCACAAATCCCTGAGGATTCCTACCACCTCGTTTTCTATATTTTTTTAAATTTCCATTTTACTGCTAGGGAAAGCAGTGGCACCATTCAGTGGTGGCGCATGGGCCAGATGTTGCCCATAAAATTAGACTGTATTGCTCACCATCTTCTCACTGGGCACAGTCTTCTCCCTAGGACAAGCTCCAGGGAGCAGCTTTTCATGTCTGCAACAACTACTCCTCCTTTTCCACTGCCCAGTGCCAGTAGGTGGTCAAACACTAGAACAGGTTGTGGAGTGTCCGCAGTTGGAAACACACAAAACCCAACCAGAAGCAGCCCTAGGCAACCTGCTGTAGCTCACCCTCCTTTGAGCAGGATTGCACTGTTTCCAGGGGTTCCTTTCTACCTTAGCCATTCTGCTTGAGTTGCTGCAGTGCAGCTCTGTCTGGAGGAGGAGGACCAGAGCCTGGGGCTGGGTGGGGGTAGAGTTTCTGTGGCTGCAGCAAGGGAGAGGAAATGGGTAAAGGCCCTTCCAGGAACCCCAAAGTACAGAACATGGGATGGTTCAAAGTGACTGCACACAGTTTGTTTAAAATCACATTTGTGAAATTTATTTGCCTGATTTTAGGCACTCAGTCCTAATGCTGTGGCCTGAGGGCCCAGATTCACATACCAGTGAATGCTGGCAATGGAACAAAGCTGTTTCTAGGGTATATCCTCACTGTAACACATTTTTCCAAACAACCTATATGTAAGAAGCTTGTCAGCTAGTAACATCAGCTCAGCAATAGCTTAAACTTCACGAGAGATGTTAAAACATGAAAGAATGTTAAAAACAGGGTACAGAATGGGTATTTGTCACAGAAAAAGATGTGGAGCATTTGTTTAAATCTGGGAATTCAAGTGCAAGAACTATCTCATCACTGACCTGCTTTGCATTAAGTTTTAAGATAATCCATGCATACAGTAGGCAGGAAAATGTTGTCATGAACAATGTTTCTGATGCTTAGTGGCTTTTTTATTTTGTAGAGTGGTGGATTTTCAAACTCATTCCCATAAACATTGCTTTGTAGAGACAACAGACCTATTAGTTGTCTAGTCAAATTCCAGAAGGAAGTTTGCACTAGTTTTCATTTACCTAAGTTCTCTTTGAGTATGTAACATGTGTGCTCCTTCTTCAGTTTTATTCCCTTTTCGGTGATGAAAAGGAGGCTGACTGATTCAGGAATGGGTTAGAAAAGTGAAGACAAAATAATGGAAATTGCAGCATGTCTGAAAAGGATTACATTTTTGAAGCCAAAAATAGTTCTGTTTCACCACCGAGTGTAGATACCTCCTGTTCAGCAAGACATTGAGCAGATTTAAGCATAGATATGGAACCTGGCACGTTTCCATTGCTGCAGAGACACGTTAGTAATGACAGAATCAGCCAGTCCACTGAGACAGTGCACAGTTCATTTCACAAGAAGTGAAAGATCTCAGCACAAATCTACAGTGCTGACACGACAGTGACTGTGAAAGAAACTGCAAGGAAAACACTGGTTTCCACTACAGAAAACACGGGTTTGGATTGTAACCCCACACTCTGTTATTTCTCTGGTAAATGCTAATGTGCTATGGCTTCACTAATGTTCTAAAAAGCATTCTGGAAAAATTCTCAGCAAGGTATTGTGTATGTTTAAGTCTGTGGCCTTGAATAATCTGCCTCCTTCGTAAAGAACACGACTACTTGGGTGGATGTTTTCAGGATTTTCAAGTTGTTCTGAAATTGTCTGAGATTATGACAGTTGTCTTTCAGAGCCTTGTTACTGCCTGGTAATGCTGGTCCTCGTCCAGGCACTGAAACACTACCCAACAGCTGAATGTGGTGGTGTGAGTTTCTTCTCCCATAACGATGTTAAAAATTCAGTGTACGGATCGAGTGATTTTTAAATGCTGATACAGCTGCATGTATTTTTTTCTGTAATATTCAATAAATGTAATTAAACCACTTCTGAGTTAGAAATGACATCTCCTGCAGTAACCAAAGCTGTACTACACAGTGACAAGTTCAAAGCAGAAGAAGAGAAGCAATTCTCAGAACAGTATTCTTAGTGCTATGGTACAGTCAAGAGCAGAATTTTGCACTTACTGGAGAATAAATCAGGGCGACGTGTAGAACAAGGGGGAAGAACAAACATTACAATTCCAAGTAAATTAATTCCAACTCCGATCTTTGAATTCACACAGGAAGGGTAAGATCCCAGTGATCCATCTGGCAAGTGACAGTAATGAGCATTACACATAATGATTACAGATTACTCAGGCATGGCTGCAGAGCTACATGCAGTACAATGGAGCGAGCATGAAGATTTTCCCAGTGCTTTTTGTAAAGCCCTGTGTTAATTTGCCCATAACTGAGACAGCTGTTAACTGGGCCAGTGTTTGCTCTGTCAGGTGTCTTGTCTTTTTTTTTCCCCTAAAGTTTCAGCTGCAGCAGGGCAATCATTTTCAGAATATGCACCTAGAGGGTAAAAGTGTGTTTATTATAAAAGGAATTTAGTGACCCATTAGGAAATTTATATTCTTTGTAGTAAGACCTTGAAACTGTAGTGTAGACTCATCTTCCTCAAGTTTATGTATGGGATTACCAGTCCAATTTCATGGCTTGGGTACTGAGGAAGACAGCACAAAGGTCCTGACCTATAAGATATTTAGACCTGTTTAGGTCACATCTGAAGAACAGGAAGCTTGTTGAGAGCTGTAACCTCTTTCCACAGAGGTAAATGGCACAGAAATATTTAGAGTTATTATTAACTTTCTCATTTTCTCTTTGTTGAGATACATATTTCCTTTTAAAAGTCCCTGCTGATCAGATGAAATTCTCACACTAAAGTGTTGGTCAGAACACTCTTTGATGAGGTATGAATATTTGGCAAATATTAGATAATGTTAAAACAGCATAGAACAGCAATACAGAAACATTGACCAATACCTCATAGCTGAAATCTGCAGTAGGTAATGGGTATGAACACATATGTTGAAAAGCTTAGGTGTATCATGTCTGACAAGTTTGCACTGTTTGGTTTCTTTTTTCTACCATCCTAAATACAGAAGGATATATAGAAAAGATTTCTAAATCCAGCTCAATGGTGTGGACACTTGAAATCAAGCTTTCTCTTGTTTGTAGGCAGGCTGGTGTTGTTTGAGATCCCCTGGTCTCCTCTGCCCTGGAAGGACCTCTGGCTGCAACTTCTCAGACAAATGTTCTGGGTTGTCTGAAGCAGTCAGGGTCATTGGCCCTGCAGAAGTTTTCAGTGCAAACATAATTTGAGGGATGTATTGATGACAGAGAAGTGTGAAGGAGTTGATTCAAACAAGCTCCATTTGTTAATCCTATTTTAGAAGTTTCATTTACTGCACAACTTGGTGTTTTATATTAGGCATAATACGCATAAAATAGTTAAGGTTCTGTCCACATTCTAATTTGGAAATGGGAATAGATCTGAGACACATTTTTGTCATGTTGTGTCCTTTCTGTTTGCAGAAGTGCTGTCAGCCATCATTAGTGTGTTGCTGGTCTATATCCTTATGGCATTCCTCCTGTATGAAGCTGTTCAAAGAACTATCCATATGGACTATGAAATAAATGGTGACATCATGCTGATTACTGCAGCCGTCGGGGTAGCAGTTAACTTGATGTAAGATCTCCCTTTCTCTCCATTAACACTCATAAATGTGTTTCTGAATTAGCTGCTAATTCATTTGTGGTCTGTAACTTTCTCATGGGATGTAATTTTGCTGGACCTCTTAATTTTCATAAATAAGACAAGAAATGATACTGAGTAATACTTTTTCAACTATTTGGTTTAAAATGAAAGGAGAAAAGCAACGAAGCCCATCCATCCACCAACCCCTAATGCCAATTTCTTGGAGTGTTTTTCTTTTTTTCACTTTCAGAATGGGGTTTCTGCTGAATCAGTCTGGCCACCTTCACTCTCACTCCCACTCCCACTCTCACTCCCACGTACCTCAGTCGAACTCTCCTAACACGTCCCATGGCAGCAGCCATGGACACAGCAGCCTTGCTGTGAGAGCAGCATTTGTCCATGCCCTGGGGGACCTGGTACAAAGCATTGGTGTGCTGGTAGCTGCATACATCATACGCTTTAAGGTAAGGAATGGCCAATCTTTGAGGCGGGTGGAATTCTTTTAATTTCAACTTCAGTGATAATATTAAAAAGGGACCTGTTTTTATAAGTTGTTTAAAAAATACTTGTGATATTTTATTGTAAGCGTCATGCATTTATGCAAAATAAGCAAAAGTAGCTCTATTACTTATGTTGTAACTATTCAAACAAAACAAACCATGAAAGTTGGAACTAGAAGTAGCTGCATTTTCTGAGTCATGTTTTTGTAAGTGAGCTTATTTTCATACATCCTTTAACACAGTGGAGTTTCCCTTGCAGCCAGAATACAAGATTGCTGATCCTATATGTACGTACATATTTTCCATACTGGTGGTTTTTACAACGGTTCGAATTCTGTGTGACACAGGAGTTATTATTCTGGAAGGTAAGATCTGTGCACAGTCTGCAGTACTTTACATGTCACATACCAGTGGGCACTGGCACTTTTTTGGCAGCACTTAGACACCATCTCTAAGTGGATTGTGCCTGGAGACCTGTTTGTCTTGCTGCTGCTTTAGTCTGTTGGTTCTTTATGGTTCATCTAAACTGCAGCAGTCTTTAGGTGTCTTTGATCTCTGCCAGAATGACACAAGTCCTATCTCTGCTCACGCTTTACCATCAGGAGATGTTCAAGTGAAATGTACAGAACTTTCTTGTGTGTCTGCAGTGGCTATCAGCTAAATTAAGTGAACATTTGCCTGGACTCAGTTCTGCACCTTCTCTTTAATTACTTGTAAAGTTAAAGTGAATCTGAATGCATAAAAAGAGGAAGCAAGTTCAGGCCAAATGACTGGACAGGTGGCTCATGCCTGATCTGTCTTCCCCTTTTCCACAAGGGCCTTTGTATTACTTGTGTGCTTCTGCTGTTACCATAGGGAAGCTACAAGAAAAGAGTGGTGTAAAAAGAAGAAAAAAAAATAGAGAAGAAAAAGCTGAACACAGGCCAAAGGAACTAATCTCAGGTGGTGAGGGAAAGATGCCAGCAACATTCTTTGCCTTATCATAGCTTACATGCCAACTATTCCTGCTTGATCTAGTGCTGTTCCTTTATGAAAGAGAAGATGTAAAGGATGGGAGAAAAATCCTTTTAGCTGCACCTTTCTAGCTGTATCATGTGAATTATTATTGACTTTTATTATGTTACGAGGTTAATTTAGAAACCTCAGATTTTCAGGTATCAGAACACTCAGAACCTCAGTCAAGTGCTTTTAAAAAATGAGAATATTTGCTTCAGAACCTTCAGCCTCAAGTCAATAGCTAAGACTTAGCTGAAGAAAAGAGATAAGTTAAAGATGTATTGGATTCCAGACGTTTTGAGTTGTGGCTGTTTCGTAGGTATCCCAGTTGTCATACCAATCTCTGAATGAATGATGATTTTAAAAGTGATATAGGTGATCTTTACACACGCTAGGGAGCTTTTCCAATGCAAATTCAGGATATCCAGAGAGTGGACTTGCATTTATATTGCAGACTACTCTATGGCATCAAGGTCCTTGGAGTTGTATCAGCTTTTGGTACTAACTTTAACTTAACGTTTCATCATTATACTAGCAATGGTAAATAAAACAGTTAAATGTCTCTCTACCACAAGCAGTGAGATTCTAGCTTTTAATACGGATTTACAAGGCAGAATGGAAATCTATCAAGAGCATGATGTAGGTATGAGAATTTAAGTCCATTTTTCCTGGGAAAAAGAAAGCTGTACATATAATACTAGGCAGTTAGCTAGTTATTTATTAGCCAAGATTTTTTTTATGGTCTCCACTAGAAGGAAAATTTTGTTTCATATGAGACAGTCCTAGGCACTGAACTTGCAAAAGAGATGGTGCTAGAGCTAACTTAATTTAAAAGGATCAGGTCCAGAGAAGTCATGTAAAAAGTCTGAAGAAATTTGAGAAATGCATGGCTGAGCCCCTCACAGTGAATATATAAACTCTGTAAAACTGGAAGGTAAGCAGAAAAAGGCTATTGCAAAAACAAAACATTCAGAAACAGAGTTTATTCAGTTATTTTATATTAGTTTTTGATCCATGTTGATCATCTAAAATTTTGATTCAGCCTTTTGTACAGATAAAGCTGTAGAGGTCCTGTAGCTGCTGGAAATACCAAAAGGACTTGATCAGTGCAATTACCGATTTGCAAAGATGACATGATGTAAGACAAAGGTCCTATGCACTACCACTGCAGTTGGATTGCTGTGAGCGTGTGAAAATGATACCAGGTCTTGAGGAGAAGTTTCAGGAGATGTTTTTTTCTCCATAATCTGACTTTGCAGTCTGCTCTAAACAGCCACTAGGGGTTAGCAGCTGCATTAGTTGCCCACACAAGTTCCAAGGGAGCTAATCTGGCTGTTGTTAGAGAGCAGGTTCTGGACAGGACAAATTACATTTGAGACAACAATTGCTGTACAACTTCTATATCTATACTAGAGTTAACAGGCCAGTTTCCATGTTATTTTGTATTGATAACATGGAAGTTACTAATCACTTCCAGCAGCACAAATTCCAAGTTTTTTGACATTGAGATCTGTCATCATATTTTAAAGGCCACTGAGAGTCTGCAGAAGACAGAATTGATTTTATCTCATGTTTGGTATCACAGGAGTTCCAAGGCATTTAAATGTGGATCGCATTAAGGAAGACTTAATGAAAATTGAAGATGTTTATTCTATAGAAGATTTAAATGTTTGGTCTCTCACTGCAGGAAAAACAACTGCCATAGTCCACTTGCAACTAGGTAAGCTGCTCTGGAGCTTAATTCCAAAGTAAATCTAAGTGTAGGAAAAAACCCTACCACTTCTTCTTCATGTTAATTAATTTGAACCAAGAAATAAAATCTATTGACTATGGTTTTGTATAGTGAGGACTAGAACCCAGTGGCTCAGAAAGACATGGTGTAAATGCAAATTGTGCAAATGAAATATATTCATACCAAAACACCCGATACAGATTCTTTGGGTAGGGGAAAAGAGCAGCACAAAATTTCTCAGAAATTCCCTTACTTGTCTAGGG